GATTAGGCGACAGCTTCGCCGGACAAACCAGAGCTGATCTTTCCAAAGGCTCCCGTCTCAGCCACAGATCGGTCCCTCGGTCACACACCACACCGCTCTGTGCCCAAATCATGAATGAGAGTTCATTATTAATAGATCCCGCTGCTTATTCTGACAATCTGAATGGATGCTGGAACTGATTATCTCTTCAAACCATAACTCACAAATGCAGTTGTAAGCCCACAGAGTGTTGACACTAGCAATTAAAAAGCCAAGTCATGCGCAGTGACAAAATCAATGATTCAACACGCTGTGGTGAGTTTAATAGCTTTAGAGGACACGGAGAGCTCAGGGGCCGTAAGGTTGAGGAACAGATCTATATCAAAAACAGGAGGCGGACTGAGCCGAGAGGAGCAGAGGCGCCCCAGGCTGCAGTCCCAGAGCTGCAGGGGGGAAAGGGCGACACGGGACGTCGTATAGTACCAGCGATGAGATCCAGAGGAATTTAACAGGGGTGGGCAGAGAAAACGAGCTTTTAGTTTAATTTAAATACATAAACAAACCTTTCTGCCAAACTAAATAGACAATCAACATAGCAACAATGACATGCATGACATGTTGAGTAATTATGCTCAGATTTGCATAAACATTAGATTAAAAATAGGAGAAATCTACACTGTAAAAAATTGTCTCTAATTTACAGTAAAATACCGGCAACTGTGGATGCGAGAATTTTACCGTGCAAATACAGAAAATTACGGTAATTTCACATGAATACGGTAAAATTTGTATTCAGTATAAGTGCACAAATGTTTAAGTATTTAAACGGGAAAATTCTAACAACCACCGTAATTTCACCGTAAACTGGAGACCTTGTTTCGCTTTTTCTACAGTCTAAGAATCTAATGTTTCCAATTGCAAAATCAAAATGAGAGGAATATTACTCAAGTAAAAAAAAAAAATTGTGCAGTGAAATTACTCTTATAAGCACCTTCCCCCCCAAAAAAGTTACTCAAATAAATGTATCTGGTGCTACCAGTTAGCTAACATTACTGCATCCAGCAGCATTAACTCAACTCATTTGTTTAGCTTTGGGAAAAAATAAAACTGTTCAAATTTTCTCACTAACATGTTTCTAACACACACCTGTTCAGCTCTACACAGCAGCAGCATCTTAGGCCTCATGTTGCGTTTAAAAGCGGCTCGGATTAAACCACAGGTGTCAAACTCCAGTCCTGGAGGAGTTTCCACTGCCCCGAAACTTTTAGATGTGCCTCTGCTGCACCACACCTGAGTAGAATAATTAGGTCGTTAGCAAGGCTCTGGAGAACTTATCAACACCAAATTGATGTAATTAAGTCATTTCATTCCAGTGCTTGGTACCTGTGGCTCATCTAAAAACTGCAGTGGCCCTTGAGGACTGGAGTTTGACACGCCTGGATTAAACAGTTATAATGGCAGAAAAATGGCAGATACAGGAAGTGCGGGAACCCCCTCCTGTATCTAGTCGAGATAGAAATAATAGAAAGTTGGCCATTCTGAGGTAAAAATGAGCAAAAACAGCTTCCAGTTCAGAGGGGGCAAAGCTGACTGTTTAGGTGGGCAATACCCCCAATGCCTTCCCATACCCCCAATGCCTTCCAATACCCCCAATGCCTTCCAATACCCCCAATGCCTTCCAATACCCCCAATGCCTTCCAATGCTCCCCATGCCTCCCAATGTCCGGGCCTGGATGAGCGTCGCTGCAGATTGGTTTCATGCTGTTGTGGGTTTTCTTCTTATATGCCTGAACATTGTAAATAGTGTGTCAGCTCCATTCAGCGGCGTCCTGCATAACGTGTCAGGATGCTCTGCTGAGAGGAGTAATGATGCTATGGATGTGTTTTACACACAGGCGTCTGCACATGGCACTGCAGGAGTCAAAGCGGCACACTTTACAAGTCCCTCCAAACCAAGCTGCCATGTTTGCATAATTACAATCATTTGAGCTGACATTATCGGTTTTCATTAAAGCTGTGTCCATTATTTCAGAATGTAAACATTGTTTTAGTCCATCTTCCGTGCATTAGGATGATGGCGAGGAAATAACCGAACACTTCTCGTTGCATATCTTTGTTCTCGTTTTATTTAGACTGTTTACTGCATGTAAAGAGTCTGGTAAAGTATCCACAATACTTTACTGCACTTGATTTATGATAGTCGGGCATTTGCAGAATGCACAGCTGTAGGCAAATTTATTAGCTTTAATTTAAACTAATCAAGAATCCAGTCTTTAATTTAAGTGGTGACATAAATATTGGCACCTCTGTTGTTAATAATTTTCACAGCGTTCAGTGGTAGCAAGATTTGTGGGAGAAATCTTGCATCCATCATCCTTTCACAATCTCTTTACGTAAATCAACAAACTGCTAATGTCCAATATGTGGTCCGGGGGCCATTTGCAGCCCTATGAGAGATTTTGGGCGGCCCACTGACCTCAAATCTAAAATTCAGTTTATTAATGCAGATTTACACTTCTTCATCTTCCAGTCCACCAATTTACACATTCATCTTAAATTTGAGTAACTAAAACAACAATTATTGACAACAATTTGAGCTTTACTTAAAGTCAAACCAACCCCAAGAAATTAGAAAGTGTGGAGCTGTCTTATGGAAATCCAAACTTGCAATACCTTTATGTTTTGTATCTATGATTTACTGATCCATTGTATATAAAAATCTAACTTTTAAAAAAATTACTATTTAGCAGATAAAATAAAAAGGCTCAAAAAGTTAGCTTTTATAAAAATGTCTTGCATTTTTGTGTTTGGACACCACAACTTAGACTGTCGAAAGAAGTTTCACTAAATAACAAGAGATGTAAAACCGTATTATAAAAATCCAGTCTGATCTGGCTAAAGCTTATGGTCCCAGTTAAAATCCCAACAGAATTCAGGAAACTCTACATGTTTACATTTGATATGGTGGGACAAAAACCACCGCTGACACCAAGATGCTGCTCTTTGCAGCAGCTTTCAAGCTGGGGGTGTTTTGTGAAGCATCTCTTATGATCCTTCTATCAAGATAAATATGTCCAGCCTTGTGTTCAATGAAGAAAAATGCATATGTTTTATCATATTTAAACCTGAAGCAAACACAAAGTCCTGGGTTGCTAATTAGTAGTTCCTAGAAACTCTCATCTTGAATAAGTCAAGGATATTTTTTTGGTACTGGTCCTTTATTTGAGATTAAATTGACTGGAAAGAGGGCAGAGAGATAAAGGGGATGACATTAAGCAAATGATTTGAAGGAAGCAGTCTAACCCAGGACTGCATCGTCTTCACAACTGAGTCACAGAACCAAAGAACAGATCCAGACACTTCAGCAGGATTCTAAAGACAAAAAAGCAAAAAATACATCACATTAAAACTATACATATTATAAGAACAGTGATAATTTAAATCAATTTTAGCATGGATATGTGTGACATTTAAAACATAATAGTAGTAATGATCATCATTATTGTTATCATATTATGTTTAATTAATAAATAATAATGGAAAATAAAGAATGAATAAAGTAAATAAATGCTGACAAAATGACTAACAGTGCCATGATCTATAACAACAAAAATAACGTTAAATATTCATTTAAATTGTCAGTGAGTTTATCCAACTACAATACATGATGGATTATTTTCAAACATTTTACATTTCTGGTATAGGAATTCAACCTTCAACCAGCTTTCTGAATGCTTACACTGGTATTATAGCTGGAACTGCAACTAATAATTATTTTAATAATCAATTATTCTGTCGATTATTCTGATGATTAATTCATTAAAACTAGCCTTTTTATATATAAATAACTAAGTTCCTTCATTAAATAATAAAATAAACATTTTGTTGCATAAAAAGCAATAACATTGATTTCTTTTAATAAATTTGAACTGATTGAGTGTTTTTGTCTTAAATAGAATATGGAGCAGCTCTGGACGACCTCTGCATTTAACCCCATTGAAAACCTCCTGGTTATTCCCTCAAATATTGATTTCTGAACTCTTCCTGAATTAAAGCATTAGTATGAATATGAACTTGTTTTCTTTGCATTATTTGAGGTGTGAGTGCACTGCATCTTCTCCGTTATTTTGACCAATTTTCTGCAAATAAATACTAAATCTTTGCTTTGGATTTCGGAGACATGTTGTCATTAGTTTATAGAATAAAAGAGTAATGTTCATTTTATTTAAACATATACCTATAAAGAGCAAAATGATTTTATGTGTATCACTGTATGTGGTCTCCTAATTTTATCCAGAGCTGTAAATATGTCTCTCCACATATATTGTACAGATTTGACTTAATTACTGCTTTGAGTTTATTTTTTTCAGCAAATGGCCTTAATTTGAGTCTGTATGTGCCAAGTAGCAATTAATTGATTTCTAAATTGACGATTAGTTCAATCATCGCTTATTAATCCGATTAATTATTTCAGCACTATGGCAACTTTTTTATGGGTGAGGTGAAGCTTTTGCAGTTGGAAGGTCTCTCTACCATCACCCTAAGTTTTTGCTCCATCAGATTTCAGTCGGTGTCCGTGCAGATGTGTTTGCGTGTCATCGGGTGTGAGGCGAGTCGTGTGGTGGTTTGATGGTGTTTGTCACCCCGACCATGGAGGCATGACAAACTTTGTCAGCCTACTTTACCCGGCTGACGATGAAACACAGCCTCCTCTGCACCGAGATGTGTGAAAAATGCTCCAGATGACCAGTTTTTTTCCTCTTGTTTTAAACCCTTATCTGATGAAGTGACAGAAAGAAGAACGGATGAGGAGTGGAGAAGGGCAGATAGTCATCTTTGAGGAAAAATACCTTGGAGGGAGAGAGAAAGGAGGAGTAGAGGAGCGGGTGCTGGGAAGGAGAAACAAGGGAGAGGAAAGAGTGGGAGAGAGTGTGTGTGAAAAAGAGAGCGAGAGAGAGAGAGAGAGAGAGAGAGAGAAGGCTGATTAGATTGGAGAGAGCCAAGGAGGTATGGCTGTACTATTGAGCAGAGGGAGTGCGTGACTGAGTGAACGCCGAATCACAGCGAAGTCCACAGCCAGGCGGACGAACTGGACCTAAATCAACAAATGGAGACTGGAAAACTGGATGGATACTGCGTATAAAGGAAGAAGTGTTTGCCTTAATGTGTGTGTATCTCTGCATCAGAGCTGCAAGGAACCCATGGGGAGGCGAGGGAAAATAGCGGACAACTCATTCGTCTCCCTTGGAAGCAGAGCTGTGAGCCAGAACAGAGTCAACCGTGGGACTCGCTGGGATTTTGAATATAATCTCAGTAAGTACTGACACAGGCGGGGAATGGGAGAGTGTGAATGATTGTTTCAGGCTGCTTTTTTTATGAAGAAACATTAATAAAAAAAGGGGGGAGGGGAGGAAGCACAACCGTGATTTTTCTATTGTGACATGCATTGTCAAACTGCATTTTTACCCCCCCAGACTTGACTGTGTGTTTGTGCCTCTTCCTCAGTGCCGGTGTGTGTGTGAGTCAGTGTGTGTAAGCTGATAATAGCAGCTCCATTGGTATTCAGCGGAGGGAGCTCCAGGATCTCGCTGCGCCTTTTCCCCGGGATGGGATCACAGAGCAGGGATTGTGCTTGCCTGAGGAGAGCCTGCTGAAATGGGTGAGTGTCCGCGTCTCTCATCCCCCCTCCCAGCCTCATCACTCCATCCTCTTTCACCTCAAATGTGTCACAGCTCACCGGTTAACTCATCCTCCTCCCGTTTTAGTTTCATCCAGAGCGTTTTTTCTACTTCTGAGGGTCTCCCTCTGTTTTCCTTGCTTAACCTGCTCACCCTGCCGCTGCCCCACCTGTTTCCCTCCATCCCTTCGCATCCCCACACCTCTCAATCATTCCCGAAACAGAACTGTCCAGCCTGATGGATTTGGATAAAATTGGACCGGCTCACTTCATTTTTTGCGCTTTGCCCCCCTACACCGCACCCCATGCCACTCCACACTGCATTTCCTGCCTCCCTCTTTCTCTCTCCATCCTTCCCTCCTCGGCCGTGTTACCCTTCCCTCCCTCCCTTCCTCTCCTCCGTCCCTCTCTCCTTCTCTCCTCAAGCTCTTCTCCACATTCTGTTTGAATTCAGGCTCACCAGAGATGTTAGAGTCTATCCTGACACAGGCAATCAGCAGTGATTGGTGTGTGTGTGTGTGTGTGTGTGTGTGTGTGTGTGTGTGTGTGTGAGTCACCTTTTTTGGCTTTATTTTGGTGTTTTGGGCCCCCAAAAACAAAAGATTATGAAGTAGATCAGTGAAATTAATTGCTTCCTGCCTGACAGATGTGACACATGCAACGCTGAACCCATTCCTCTTCCTCTTCTTCTTCTTCTCATGTCTTTGTACTTCACGCTGACGTACCTTCTGCACACCAATTCACACCCATCTACATCCCCTCACACCTGCAATGACATAGCATGCAAATGTTCCCAGCGGAGGGACACACAACAGCTGACGCTGAGCTCTGACCTAACTAAGTGTGCAGGAACACTCAGACTCCCGTCCTAAACGATCCTGGGAGGATACGGTGTCAGAGGAGGGCCATATCTATCCGCAGAGTCGTATTGATTGCAGCTGATAAACTGAAAAGGCTCTGGTGCTTTATTGCAAATGAAGCGTCGCTTCATTGTGCTCTGCAGAAAGGAAGGAGTCATTCACCCGATTTAATGAGTTCGTAAAAAGAGGTAATATAACTCCTGCATGGATCTGCTTCTTTCTATATTTCCTCTGTGACTGAAAAGGACACCAATCCCGAAACTGTGTGCACAGGGAGTTTTTCTCAGGATTCAATAATTCATATTCAACAGGTGCTAACTGTTGCATAGTAACAGAGAGACAAGACAACCTGTTAGGGAAGATTTGACACCTTGCTGCTATTTTTGAATCATTCTAATTGTCTTGTCTGTTTAAACAAAGAGGGTGTGATTTGAAAAAAACAAACAAATAATAGAGCAAAAGATGGCAATGGCAAGAAATTCAAATTTCTTTAAGGTAAAACAAAATCAGGGTTTCATATGACTATGCAATCTTTAAAATCCAAAGAATAATTTTTACCCTCAGTATCACCTACTGCTGGGTCAGAGCCGCTCATGTTACCTGATTTTTTGAAAAAACTTATTATAATTCAAGTTTTGAAACAAAGGAAAGCAGAAAACTTTTGCAAAAAGAGGATGGGTACATTTTCTTTGGTGGGATGTTAGTATTTTTTTTAATTGTGAAAGAAGACCATGCTTATAATTATGAGATAATAGCTCTAAAAACATGTTGCTGGTACTTCTAATGTCAGACTGTTTTGAATTGCATTTAAAATATTAAATGAAAAAAAGCGAAATACTTATTATTATCCATTTTTAAAAATATTACTCGTCTTTTCTTTATTTGTTTTTCAAACCAAACTCATTAGGGGCCGTCGTGGCGGATCCAAAGAGTAAATTGGAGGGTCAAGAGTAGCAGGTTGCAGACCCCTGGTCTAGATGGACCATTGCTGAGCAAACTGGGATAAATGGGCAGTTTCCCAGGGTGGCATTAGAAGGGGAGCAGATGTGTGTTTGTGTAATGAGGGGATGCATTAAAACCAAAATAAAGCAAAGAGCATTTTGGTTCTTTAGCAGCGCTCCATATGATTGTTTGGTTGAGTTTGACAAGTGATGGATGAGTTTTGTTAAACAAAATTTTAATAAAAATGTATTCTAATTATCATATTTATCCCCTTACTTCTTAATTTGTGTTTTGAGCCATTTTTTTACCCAATTAACTACCATCTTTGAATTGTTCACCTATGAGCCACGTGAAATCATGTTGTTTACTGACAACAGCAAAGGTTCAAATCGTCTCTTTTATTTGCTTTTGCAGATAATCAGATGAAATTCTCTTAATTCAAACAATAGCTTTAATCAAAAATTATCATTTGAAATGAATTCATAATTACTCTTCCTTTCTGTGATTCAAAATGTTTTTCATAAAGCTATTGGTGCTTCAGTTATGCAGCCAGAAATCAGAATGAGCTGATTTATTCTTAATCTATTGAATAAACTTAAACCTAAGGCATCAGCACTAAGATTTTTCACCATTTTTAATCTATATATGCATTATCAATCAGTGTATGCTTTTATGCACTTCTTTTGATACTAATAAACATCAGATGAAGGACATAGAGTTTAATGCATGGAGTAATTTAATGCATAAATCACATGTACCGTAAATAATTGTGTGATTTATTCATTTCAGTTCGATATAAAACTACCACATCCATCAAAGAACCTGCAGCACATTTTCTTAAAGATGTTTGTAAAACCAGTCGGGATCGATCAAAATGGGAATCAGTCTGGAAGAAAAAGCTTGAATATCTATATAAGATGGCAGAGAAAATGTTTCTTAAATTGAGTTTTCTCGAGCTTTATGGAGTAATGCAGCGCAGCCCTCCCCCACCTGTTGCTGCAAACATTTGGTACATTAAATTTTGCCTCACATTGAAAATAAAAATACAAGTTTGGCATTTCAGAAATATCAATAGTTGTGGAGTGGAAACCGGCTGAGAAACCATCCTGTTTTATGTTTTATCTTATTGTAAAGAGTGATACAAATAAATGTATTATTACTACTATTATTAAAACCTTTATTACACTATTAAAAGCAAGCTCTACCTTAAAAGATATTTAAAGTTATTTACTATCAGCAGATTGTCATAGTTGTGTTACTTTATACATAAAGCAAATGAGTGTATATTGTAGTTTTGCTTAACTTTACATATAAAGTTCACATTAACTTTAAATAAGTGTCAAAGGTAACAATGTTTTAAAACTAGTAATCAGTATGTTGCATTATTTTAGCAGCAGAGGGATTCGTTTCCAGTTTCCTCTTATATATCAAAGCAGCTGAATCATGTTAATCATCTGTTTTGTATTTTTGTGTGAAAGCTGTGATACTTTGAAACCATAAAAACTATTTTATTATAATCCAACCTTAAGGTTAGATTATAATAAGAATATATTTTTGCCATCCCGACAGTGAAGTTCTATTATTGAAGTGCAGTTTGTCGTTCAGACTTTGCGTTTTGTGATCTGCAGACACTGAACAATGATTTTTGAAATAACAATTTGAATTTGGGATCAACCACAACACTTTAAATAAATCTGTGTTTCACTCCTGCTGAAAGTCATTGTTGCCACGCTTCACCTGACGCAAAGACTCGAGGAAGAAGAAGACAGCAGAACGAATTGAATGAAAGCAGTGAAGGTGTCGTTACTAAATTGCACAGGGGGAATGGAAGAGATGTCATGTGGAGACTGTGCGAAGATGAGCTTGTTAGGGGAGCGAAAGGATCAAATCTTAACGCGAGTGCCGAGGACTGAGGAGCAAACAAGCAGCAGAGTCGGAGAAAGAGTGACAAGGACAGAATAGACAGCAGGACGACAGCTAGGGAGGAGTGTGACAGGCAGGAGAATGACATGCGCGATAAGGCAGAGTGACACAAACGTCGCCAAGCTAACCTTTCATGCACTCTCACTCCTCTTCTCTTGTACTTTTACCTCTCCGCTCCCTCTCCTTTCTAGGCCCAAAACCTGGGAGCGGTGGTCGCCGAATGGGCAGCGTGGACACCAACATGTTCCCTTCAGCAGCCAGCTTTCCACACCTGTCCATCTCCAGCATCTCCAGCATCTCCAGCCGTCCGCTGCAGCCAACGCTGAGCCTGCAGAGTTGAGGTTGGGATCGCCTGGAGCCGTCTGCAGGAAGCAGAGACAAACAGGCCTCGGAGGAGTCGACGTGCCACCATCCAGTCAGTGCATCAAGCAATTAAGCTGCTTGAACTTCATCTGAAATGAAATATGATGTGGTGATGCTTGAGCAGCGGTACGGAGCTTTTGGACGTGTACGGATTTATTGGCCGGATATTTCGTCGAGATTACGACACTTTTGGGGCGCAACTCAGTGCTGGGTCACTTTTTCCACATAAGTTTGTGGGCAAAGGCGAGTAATTGAAAATCACCCCCCGGGAGGCCAGTTTTTATTTTTGCTGTATTTTTTTTTTCCAAAGGAGCAACTTCTCTACCTGAAATTTTCTGTCCCTTCTTTCACATCGAGGAGAAATACATTATGAAGCAGCAGCATTCTTCTTCATCCTCTCTCAGTGACGGAGAGGGAAGAGGGACAGACTGTCCAGAATAGATAACGAATAAGGAGACAGTCACTGAGCAAGGAAGGAGGAGGGGGGGAGCAGAAAACAGAAGGACAGGTGGAGAAAATAACACGAGAGCAGACAGACAGAAGAGAGAGAGCGAGAGAAATAAACAGAATTAACTAGGATTGTCCAGAGTCCCTTTTCAGACCTCCTGTAATTCGTTTGGGGTGTTTTGGAGGGAAGTTAATGCCATGGGCGGGGGAGGGGTCAGGATTTCAGCCAGAGGGGGGGCTTGAGTTCACCGTCTGGCCTGAAGCTGCTGTCTCTGCGTGTTGGTGTTTGAACTAAACCATGGCCCGGTAAACAGACACCTGTAAGGACTGACAGAGAAGCTCTGAGACAGAGAGGAAGACAGCTACACAGCCGAAGTGTCAGGCAAAAAAAAGGCAGCAGACATCCAGAGCTGGCAGAGCCGACGTTCTGCATTTCATTGTCATTCCACTCAGTGTTTTTCAGAGGAGGTAAGAAGAAGCAAAGAGGAGCATCCTCGTGTTTGTGGCTCCTTTAGGACCCATCTAAGTCAGTACCGTTGCACTGAAAAAAGCCCAATATACAGCAAAGGGAGGGTTGTTACTAAAAAGGAAATCCAGGTTGGAAAGAGAGAGAGGGTGGGAGGCAGACAGAAGCGGAGCGAGAGAGCAGGTGTCAGAAATCCTCCCCTTCATCTGCTTGTCATTTACTCCTTTATGCTCGCTCGTCGTTTGGCACAGGGATTGATTTTCTGACGCCGCCGTTACTCCTCCTATGAGCCTTCTGCAGTCCCTGGGTGCAAGCAAGACAGAGGACAGCAGAAAAAGACCACAACCACAACAACAAAAAAGGGAAAAGATGGAGCCTTTCTCATTGACTGATTTTTCACCCCCTGCTTTTCCAGTTTGTCGAGATGGCCTCTTGTTATTTCTTCTCTGAGTAAAGCGAAAGAAGAAAAACACCCACCAAATCAATCCCTCATTCTGTTTGTACTCAAGAACTGAATCTCCCCTCTCATCGACTGTTCCTCTACATGGATTACCTTTTCCTCTGAGTTTCAAACACTGGCTTGCTCCAAATTTTCTCCACACATCCTCCCCTCCAGTGACAAACTAACTCCCCTGGCAGCATCCGTGCCCCCTCACCCGCCAGCTGAGGTGCAGAAAGTCTGTGCTCTCGGATCCTAGAGCCCCCGTTGACTCACCACTACAGCTATAGTATGGCACGGCCCCTCTGAAACTGTCTGAATCATTCTGTAAGTACAGCCTCTTTCTATCTGTCTGTGAATGTATGTCTTCACATCCTCACTACAGGTCATTAGCATTCATTAAGTTCATATATTGTGAAGTGCAGGAATGGTCTGTCTTACTGCAGCGTTTGGTTTTATGGTTCCTTCACAGCGGATTTGCTTTCCTCTGCTTCGGGCAGAGAGCGTGTATGTGCGTGCGTGCGTGCATGCGTGTGTGTGAGAGTCTGCCAAGTATGAGTTTGATCTCAGATCCAAGCTTGCGAGAGAGTCAGTGTCAGAATAAGGTACATGGGGTGCTTTCCCTTGGTTGTGTGAACCCCCAGGGTTAATTTGAGCTAATTAATGAGATTCTTTTTTGCACATTTTTCACTTCTGATTTAATGTTCTAACACTGCTGAGGGTGGAATGGAAACTGGATGCATCAGCTACTGAGAATGACTTCTTGACTTCTTTATTACCTGCATTTAACATCCAATGCCTTGCAGAGATGTTTATATCCATTGAATCTGTCCAGATTCTGCTATGTTGTAGCCACAATCTTCAATGCATTTTACTGAGGTTGGATGTGACGGGTAATTAGTAAACAGAGTCCACTTGGTGTGTAATTTAATCTCAGTTTAAATGTATCTTTTCTGAGAAGAACTTTGTCAGAGGACATTACTGTATTCTTTGCTGCTCTTGGCCAGGATTCCCTTGAAAAACAGGTTTTTAATCTCAATGGGTTTTTATCCTGGTAAAATAAAGTTTAAATAAAAAACAGCATCAAGAGGGAGCAGTTGGGGAGAAGTTTAAAGCAGGATATAACAATCATTGCACATGAAAAGAGTATGGAAACCTAAAAAGACATGGATGTCCATCCAAACTGAGGGCGAGGATGAGAAGGAGTGGGAAATATGTGCTCAAAGTTTTATTATGATATGTTGTGTTACAATTGTCATACAGATAAATGAGGACTATTTATTGCTTCATTTTTAGGTTGCTGTACGACTGACACTTTGCCACAAACACTGTTCTTCAGAAACATTACCATTTATAATGCACTTCTTTAGGACACCAGTCATAAAAAAGGTGTGATGAAAGAGGGCTAATTTCAAGACGATAAATTATGAAGTCAGATTTCTTTTCAGTCATATTTGATATTTAGAGCATCTTATAATAAGTGAAGGTAACATAGTTACTTAATTATGCTATAAAATTACATTAAAATACACAATAGTGCCTCTTTAAGTTGTCAAAGTGAAAGTGAAATATACACATAATATCTACCACAGAAATATTATTTATATTGAATATTGATATCTGCCCAATATATTGGTGCATTCCTAGTTAGAAACTCTACTCTATAGAGACTGAACTTTTCTGCTCAGAAGAATTTCAGTCTCCTCATGTCCGAAATCCAAGAAAAGCAGCAGGGATGAATGCAAGTGCATACTACTCTGTGTTAGCCTATCACCTACGATACCAATAGAATACATTTAATGTTTTGGTTTTAACGTAACGAGATGTTTAGAAGTACGCAGACGACAATGAATGAATAGTATTGCACAATGGCTCCATATCATTTCCAATTCTCTCAATCCCCAAATGACCTGCTTGAATGAAACTCAACACTTATCTTCAGCCCCTGCAATGTCCTGCATATTAGTAAGCTCATCTATCTCCATGGTCACCTCTTTATGCACTCGCACAATCACCAAGCCCTCAATCAAGATTGTACCTTCAAACAGACCAGTGAACTGTGAATAACACCATTATACGAACTCCCAGTGCTGAGTATTTCAGAAAGGAAAGATTTAAAGGGATGAAGATGGAAGGAAAATGAGGGAGGGGAGTGAAAAACTATCCTGGACACAGAAAAACAAGAGGAGGAAGAGAGACAGTGTGAGGGAGAAAGCAACAGAGAGGCGGACGCAGAGGAGGGCATCGGGAAACAGCGAGGAAAATGGGAGAGCATGGATACAGAGAGGCCGAAAGGCAGGAAAAGACCTCTGCTCCATGGGAGCACTCTGATGGGCTTAGCAAAGCCCCGCTTTGTTCACGCTGTTGGTCAGCCTCTCAGAATTAAGCTTAACTAAATAATACGATTACTGCAGCTGCACACTGATAACACGCTGCTGCCGATCCCCTTTGTCACTGTCAGAAAGCCCATAGAAGAGAGGAGGAGTGGCATACGATGGCATCAAAGGCATGACAGATCCGACTACATTACACTGTCACGAGGGCCTGAGCTTCAGACAAGAGCTGGTTTCACTTTTCATCTGAAGAGTAGCCATGCAGGCAAAGATACAGAGGGGGAAAAAAAAGTTTTCTCCACAAATGTCATTATGTTCCATCATGCAGCAACAACTCACTTATCTTTTCTTGTCTCTAATAATGCGCTTTCAGATCAAAACGCTGCATATTACCTGACTGTACATGTGAAAGCATAAAAACAGCCAGACATCTGGCCCTTAAGCCCCGTTGTTTACTCTGCTTCCTCTGTGTGGGCTTTTTGTTTTATGTTTCTCTGCTTGACAGCTTTGACACAAATTCATGCGAAGTTGACCTTGCAGTTTGATTCGTAATAAAAGCTCAAATCCCAAGCTATGTTGCACATTGATACTTGTTCTCCCACCAGCAGATAAATAGTCTTCCACCCCATGGGAGAGCAGGGGTAAAAAACAAGCAGGCAGCAGGTACCACCGTCCAGTTTGTCTCAGCAGAGGTGGAGAACGTCTCTCTGTAGCCCATGGCTCCCGGAGCAGAGAGCTAATATAAAGACTGGGCTGGGCTCAGCCCCCCTCCTACGAGGTATGAGGTATTTTCGCTCTTCTCTCAGTAGGAGCTACCATTTGCCTGCAGAGCTAAAGATTAGCTTGGAGGAGAAATTGAAAAGACACATTTACCTCAAAATGGTGTGTCATGATGAGAAAACACGTTGGAGAGCTGAGGCCACACAATAAAATCAGAAAGTTATGAAACACAGGTTTTACTTTCTGTTTGTTTTTTCAGATGCTACATTCAGGACCTTTTAGCTTTTCCACATTTGTATTAGTACACCTACCTTCACCAGTTTTGTACATCTAGAGACCAAAATTTATGAGTTGTTGTTCCTTGGATTAACAGTATTTTTTAAAATTTGGACTATTTTGCCTCTCTAACATGTCGATATGATTTGATTTAAAGGGGACAAATTATGCAAAATCCACTTTTTTAGTCCTTAAACACATGTTTTTGTGTACTTGGAGTGAAAAAAAAGTATGCTCTCCTGCTGCAGCATGGATATATGGGAATTTTTTGAATTTTTCCTTTATCTGAAAGATTTTTTTCCCACCACACATTTCCAAAAAAGCCCAAAAGGCACATTTGGGTTGTTTTGATGAGAGCTCCTTCTACCATTTGTTTACTGAGTGTATGGTTTGTGGAAAACTGCTAATCTTAATCTTACCCCAAGTGGCATTCTTGTTTCCACTCTTATATGAAACTGATTTTTGGAGTGGATGGGAAATAGTTCTGACCTGAGCTGAGGATGTCTGCAGCTCCTCCAGAGTGACCACAGACCTCCTATCTGCCTCTCTAATTGATGCTCTCCTTGTCCAGCCTATAAATGGCAAATAGCCATTTATTGGTATGGTTGGAATTGTCATCATGATTTTTCTATGTTTGGATGACGAATTGAACCGAAGTCTATGAGCCTTCAGAGATGTATGCTGTGATAGAATGGGATTCTGCTGAATAAATATGCAATTTCAGAAGGTGGCACTAGATTTTTTTATGGGGTTAAAAGTGAACACAATAACATTAAAAGTCAAATTTCTAAAGGTTTTTTTTTTAGGTATATTTGCCTCAAGGACATCCATTCATTGAGGATTCATGTTGAATTCCAGGAATGCAATCTGTAAGTGCAAGCAGCAGTGTGTTTAAATCAAATGGTGTTTTATTTTTAAAGTCTAATACGAGTAGAAATATACAGCGCTAGAAGATTATTTCAGTTTTTCCTCTCGACTTGCTCTAAACTGTGCCATAAATTTACATGGTTCATGAAATAACAATTTACCCCGAATTTTAGAGCCTCTCGTTACCCTGGTTTGTTCTGCTCGGATCCTTTCAGATCACTGATCCAGTCATTTAACCAGGCCCTGAAAGCAGCTGCTGCATCTAGCAAAACAGGGTATGCTTCTGCTAAAAGCATTTCTAAAGCATTTCGCTGAAGTAAATAATTATTATGTTATCAACACTAAATCTATCATTTTGTCATCAACTTGGGAATGTGACGAGGTTTTGCTGCAGCCCATGACTCAGCCTCTGCTCCAACAATGAGCTAATTTGGGGATATGAGATCTGCTCAAACTCCTAACAGCACTTAAGTTTCCTCCGTTGATGGACCACCAGCACAAAGCAGTCTGCGCTAAACCTTTACCCCACGGTGTGAAAATGAAAATGACTCTCGTTTGTTCAGTCCTGCTTGCTTCGGGCCGGCCGGCCTTGAGGGGAAAGACAGAGTGCGTGTGTACGAGCCGAGTGACAAGAAGTGGACATTAGGACACACATGCCCTTTCCATAATGTGCTCCCGGCTGGGCTGTTTGGCTGGCCATAAAGTGAATGCTGCTAATGGTCTCTCCGTTAATGGAGTCATTAAGACTGGATTGCAAGGAGATAAAGGCGATGTATGTAATGTGTGTGATCTGAGGTAGAAGCGTGATCATTTGTATATCTGTACATTTACTGTAACCATCTCGTGAATTTGTATTTATTCAGCTTTTTGTTACATATTTTTCCAGATAGCAACAAAACACATGGTGTGCATTAGCATTAGTGGAAAAGGTCAGTTTTGTGTCGGTGTGAACGTAACGTGGTCTGAGGCTCAGCTCATCAGTCTTAACCTGGCTCGCTCTAATCAGGCTGCCGGCTGAGGCTCGCGTCGCGGCAGCAGTGAGTTTGCTGCTGCCTTGTGTGGCTGCTGGAGTGACAAACTCTGATAAGCTTGATCTCAGGTCAGTTCAGGACTCATTCCCGAGAAAATGTT